CTGCAGAACCAGAACCAGATGTTCTGAGGAGGTTTGGGAGGAACTTGGTGCAATGATTTTTATGATTGTTTTGTCTGAGCTCGTGGTGACTTTGGGGCTAAAACAGCAGCTAGGAGACGACTTTCAGATTTTTTAAAAATTCAATTACAGACTTTTGGAAACGTTTTAAAGGAAACTGTTTCTCGGACTTTGCAGCAGCTGCAGTTTAACGTGTCGAAGCTCGATGATTCAGCAGCTGACGGCTTCCAGCAGAGCTTCACTCAGACCGAGCAGAGAAGCACAGAAAGGCCGAGCGAGGCTGCGTCCTATATCTGTCAGAGAGAGCGAGGATTACCTCCAGCTACTGCAATCTGGACAGCGCGCGAGCACACACACACACACACACACACACACACACACACACAGCTCCTCTACACTTGTGAGGTCACTGCTTCTCTGAAGAAGGAAAACTGTCTGAAATAAGCCGCTGTCGGCCGGTTGGTGTTTCCAAACCACAAAACTGACCTCTGAAGGTTGGTATCAGAGTGAGGACCACATAGATCATCATCCTGGTCCTCAAACACACACACACGCGCACACACACGCGCGCGCACGCGCGCACGCACACACACACACACACACACACACACACACACACACACGGCTGCTCTACACTCATGAGGTCCCTCCACCGACAGCAGAACGAACCAAATGTTGTCGTCACAGCGGCAGCGGAACTGAGCGCGCTCAGTCCAGCTGTGCGTCACATGACGAGCGTCATGTGACGTCCTGACGGCGCCCAGAGGACACGTGCAGGATGCTGACCGGGATTAAAGTCACTGAGATACAAAATCCAGCTTTCCTGGAATGATTAGCAGCCTGAGATGGAAACCGTGTGGCAGCTGCTTAACTCTTCCTCTTTTTATTTATTCTTTTAATATTTCATCAGTTTATTTTTCTAAAACTTCCTTTCGGGGTATTTCTTTTCCGTTTTTGCTCCGATTGTGTCTTTGCAGCAGTTTACATCTTCTTTGCCTCCTTTCAGACATGAATATGGAGCTGTGCTGCTTCCTCAGGCGGCCGTTCATTCATTAGACGTTCACATGAATTCTTCATGTGTTTGTTCAGAAACATGGACGGAGCAGAGAAGTCCTGCTCCGGTTCCACCTCCACACAAACCAAACAAGCAGCAGGAGTCGTATTTGTGTCAGTGTTTACAAGCTGAATATAGAATTAATTCCTAACTAATTCCTCTCCACCCTGCAGGTCTCTGGACCGCTGGCTGCAACGAACGGCGTATTTACACATGAACTCAGAACTCGGTCGTTTTTCTGCTCCTGTCTCGTGTTCCTTCACTGAGGTTCATGTTTCTACATAAAGTCCTGCAGCTCTGTGGAACCAGAACCACATGAAGGAGGAGGAGAGAGAACTCAGAGACGTCTTCTGCATGATGACAGAAATCATTAAAAAAAAAAAAAGTATTTCATTATTTATTTAACTAAAATCTAAAAACCTGGAATAAACACTTCCAGCATTTTTCACACATGTGACTAAAACTAGAGAGAAAAAAAAAAGGCGACAGCTCACACTATAGGTACTGTAAATTTTGGACGATTGAGGCACCTGAATATAAGCCCCACCCACTAACTTTAAACAGGAAACCAGGTGTGTACATATACAGGCTGCAGGTGTCCACGTTGGAACATGAGATATTTACACAGAAAGATGTTTTAATGTTTAATTAAATACGTAGCGGTAACGTACACAGATATGTACTGTAGATGCTTTTTTCTGAACAGCGCCGTAACACGGCTGGTTAAGGAAATAAAACTACAGCAGCCTACCAGGAAAAGTCACTGATCGCTATCTTCATCTTCCTCCTGCACTAAAACCACTAAAGTCGTCTTCTTCAGTGTCTTCAGAAGCTGAACAGCCTCAGAATCACTTCATCACTTCCTCAGTCTCTCTGTCGTCGTCGCTCTCAGTGTCACTTTGGACTCGAGGCTTATTCGTAAAAATCCATAAACTAGCTGCATCGTTTTTGAAGCTGCAGTGTTCAAAGCGTGTGGAAAAAGTAGCAGCTTATAGTCTAGACATTACGGTAATCTACTCCTGACATGTCTTCTGTCTGCTCGGTGGAAACACTGCTGCAGTTGGACCGGAAAACGTTTTGATGTAGCCGAGTCTGTCGGGTCGAGTCAGTCGCTGTGAGGAGCTCAGAATGTCAGAACAAGGACAGCTTAAGTCACACAACTGTTACAAATCTATGCCATTTTTTTAGCCTGTAATCGATAGCTTTATCAATCAATCAATCAATTATTAACACAAGGTAACACAGTGGACACAATTCTAAATGCTAAGAGAGATAAATAGATAATATTTACTGCTGAAATGGTTTTATCATATCTGCTATGAGTTTACAGGATCCTGGAAAAGTCAGGTTGAGTAACTGAGCTCTCATCAGACGTCATGAACCTCCTCAGAGTCTCTGTCATGGTCCCGTTGCTGCTAAACTCCCACAATGCTCTCTGCTGCCAACATGAACTCTGGTCTCTACAGGATAAAAAAGGAAGAGGCTCCACCTGGTGGAACAACCAGGTACTACAGCTGGTCTATGATACGTTTACTGACATCACGACCTTCTTTTTGTGTCTTCAGTTAAATCATTAAAAGCATCCCCATCTCTAGCTGATACTCTCTGTTAAAGACTAACTCCTTAAAATTCACGGCCAGGTGCGCCCATCTCATCCTGACAGTTAATAAAAGCGTCAGCAGTGATGCTGTCTAACAGGAAACCATGAACCAGCCGGTTTGAAGCCTTCCACAGTCGTTGCAGCGGTCTGTTTGTCCTCACTACAGGGGTAAAACCAGCGCTCACAGAGCTCCTGTTGTGGATTAATCTGAATATTTTCCTGCATCATAAACCTCCTGACACCAGTTTTACGGCTTCATTAAAGTTTATCAGCTGAAACAAACAGAACAAATGCTCCGTTCTTCTTGTGTTTGTCACATTTATGACTTCAGACACTGAAGACTTCAGCAAAACATTCACATTAAAAACATCCCACATTTTAGATCATTTCATTTTTCATTAAGTGAGCAGGCGGATTGCTCTGCGAGCAGAGGACAGAAAAGATGAATTTTAACGAGTGTGAGTCTGGTACCGACCTGCCTGATGCCCAGTCTGTAGGCCAGGATCCGGTCCACGGCGTTCGGCTCCATCTGAGTCCACTGCAGCTTGAAGCCGTAAACCCGAGGCCGGTTCTGCCACAGAGCGCTGTAGGTGTCGTAGTAAAACTCCGGAGCGTAGGCTTTACCTGAGGATGCACAGGGGTCAGAGGTCATGCAGAGGTCAAATAAAGGTCACATTGAGGTCACAATCAGGTCCAGGTCACTGTGTTGATGCACACAGTGAATTTCTGAAAACTATGCAAACAATAAACCGATCACCACTGTACCTGTTGGCCGTTTACACTGTGATTAGATTACAAACTGTGTGCTCTTGTTTTTACTGTGTTCTGCAGCTTGTTTTCCTGTTAATTATTGTCCTGTTTAGTCTGTTTTGATTGTACATTCAGCATCATTATAAACGAGGGCATGCCCTCAACGAGTTCTCCACATTTAAATAAAGGTTAAATGAAAATCAAGCTGTTAAAGTGATGCTCTGGGTCTCTGTGAAAGGTCTCGTGTTGTAACGCTTTCTAACAAATTAATGAAAGTCTCACACGTCCCCGTGGGGTGTCCTTTCACTTCCAGCTGATAATAACACACCAGGACTGTGTAACTCCTGGTTCTGCTCTAAACAGGCTGTTTCAGTGTCTGTAGGTTTAAATGCAGCTGAGTTGCTGCTGGCCCCGCCCCCGTCAGGAGGAACACGCCCTCTGTCTGTGATTGACAGCTCAGGGACAAACAGATGAAAGTGTGAGATCAGGACGTTCTGTCTTCTAACTTTCTCTCTGAGGTTCATTTCACATTAAATCTGTGTGAATTCTCAGCTGTTGTTTTTCACTTTGGTGCGTTTGTCAGACGACGTTGTAAAGTCAGGATTTTAGCAGCTTGGAAATGAAGCGATGCTGGTTCACGTCTGAATGAGTTTCACCGTTTTATCCTCGTGAGCACAGAGGGCAGGAGAGAAGCTAACAGATGGAAACATTAAAACACCTCCCAGTCCCTGTTCACTGGTTTCCACCACCTCTGAATGTCTCTCAGTATCACAGTTTCCCCAGAACGCCGACCTGTGGAGACGCCATCAAAGCTAACGTTAGCCACATTAGCCCAACACTGAGGATTCTTTGGGTAGGTCTGAACAAGCCTCTGGGACGAGGTGAAACATCTTCAAGAACCAAAAAGAGAAGTCCAGTCGTCTTCTACTGGAGCTCTAAGGGTCACTTCAGATTCTCAAAGACTGCACGAGTCAGTAAAAACTGAGGAGGGCAGCAGCGAGCAAAGCTATTCTGATTGCTGATTAGATCATGAGCATGTTGAAGTTTGCTTGGATCTTCACTAAAGATTGTGAAACTGCCAAGAAACGCTGAGCTGTTGGCTGACGTTACTCCACACTGATCCTTAGATTAAACCAATCACTGGTAAGATAGCAAGACTTCTTTGCGAGGAAACATGGGCTACAGGTCGAGCATAAACTAAATTAGACGCCAGCTCAAATTCATTTAAAGTAAAACAGGGACATGGAGAGAGCTGCAGGATTTATTGTACATTGATCAACTAGTCAGATTGCAGCCAATCACGTTCTGGCATTTCATCTAATGTGATTCTGTTCCCAGACTTCTGACTTGAAGGCACCAGGTCTGGTGTCTCTGAGCTCCTGTTGGGTAGTGATGCTGTAAGTGACTGATGTGATGTGATGTGACGTGTTCCTGGCAGGGTCTTCCTTATAAATGAGATAAAGTATCGTCAGAGGCTTCCAGCAGAAGTAAAGGTTAGCGGATTAAATGAAGAGGAATCTTTTCACAGACTGACGACGTGAAGAACAACCGAACCGTCTGGCGACTCGTCAGGTTCGAGTCTCCTCTCACGGCTTGATGTTTCACTCCTGTCACTTTTTTTCAGAAGCTCTGCCGTCGTCTCATTGGCTGCGGCGGGATGAGCGAGGTTTAAAATGCCACCGGCGTGTTCACACCTGATTAACAACACAAACTTCACCTCTGCAAATGACAAGCCGACATAATCACCGTCATTTTGCATCAGCTCTCCATCCTCAGCTTACAACTCCCCTCTTTAAACGGGTTCTGCTGCCGCCTGCAGAACGCCGCTCGCCGGCCGGCCCTGATAAGAGGCTTAGCGGGGCGGCGGGTTTTACAGGAAGTCTAACAGCGCTGACAGGGCGTCTCTGCAGGGGCGCTTTCATCAAGAGAGGACGGAAATACGAGGCGAGAGCAGAGAGTCTGAAACTCCGCTTGAGAGTCAATGAAGACTCCACGTTTGCCTCAGAGACGAAGCCGGGTCTGGATCCACAGAGAAGAACCGAATCCGTCTTTCTGCTGCACCGATTCTGATCCTCGACTCAGGACTCAGGAAGCACCGAGTCCTGCTCCGACAGCAGAGTTACTACTCAGCGTTGGTTGGAAATCTGGTGGAACGTCAGAGCTCATGGACTGTATGAATCACATGTATTAACATGAGTGATGCACGATATATCGGCGACCACATCGGTATCGGCCGATATTTGTGTTTTTCTCATATATCGGTATCGGCGCGATGAGCAAATTTAGCTGATATGAAGTGGACGTGTCTATTGACAAGTCTTTTGAGACAAGTAAAACCCAGTCACAGAGCATGTTCTAGTCATTTATCAAGAAACAACACAAATCCAAGTCAAGTTACCTGAAGTCACTTGTTATGACTCAAAATTAATTCTCTTCATCTCAAGTCATTTGAGACTAGTATCTAGTCATCATTCACATCTAATAAAGGACAATTCCAAATTAAATCTCATTTATGACAAGTCCTAATGATGTCCTAAGGCTTCTCAGAAAAACTAGTCAAGTCACAATTAGTTTGAGACAAGTCCAAGTCAAGTCTCGTCCAATAAAAGTCCAAACTAAGTCCCAAGGAATTTACAAGGCCTGCTCAAGTCTAAAACAATTTGAAACTAGTCCAAGTCCAGTCTCGAGTCTTTTGAGACAAACCAAAGTCTTGTCCGAAGTAAATTAGGAAAAGTCTAAATTATTTGTCTCAAGTTATTTTTGGAATGTTCTAGTCATTTCTCAACTAACTGAGGACATGTTCGAGTCTAGTCTAGTTGCCTCAAGTCACTTAATATGACTCAAAATCAAGTCTTGTCATGTCAAGTTATTTGAGACAAGTTTAAGTTAGGTCTTGCCAACAACAAACCAAATTACGGCTCCAGATAAAGTTCCTTGTAATTTATGACAAGACCTGCTCAAGTCTAAAACAATTTCAAACTAGTCCAAGTCAATTTACAGGTCATTCAAGACAAGTCCAACTCAAAAGTGCAGAAAATAAAGTTTTTTGCCATTTCTGAGTCTGGCCTGGAGTTTAAACGTTTTTCTTCCCTGAAAGAATTTCTACAGAAACGGTTCCTCACAAAGGTTCAGGCCCTAAAACAACCTGAAAGTTCCTGCAACGGAAAACAGCGTATAGTTGGTCCACATCAGGTGCTTCTATCAAGTGTCACAGGTGTGTTACAGAAACACCACAGGAGTTCAGAGAAACAAACAGCAGCTTCTATACAATCATGTGTACATGGAGCAGAACTTACGGACGGGAAAGAAAATTCAGCAAAATTCAGCGTGAAGGGACAGAAGCTTTGAGAAAACAGCTGTAGGACGCTTTAAATGTTGAAGCTACGTGTCAGAAATCAACATGAAGAAGCAAAAGGGCGAATAAAAGATCAAGCTTTGTTTTTGTTCTCAGCAACCTGAAAAGTTCCGACATGTACTTGAGATGTTTGTTCGACTTTCAGTGTTAATCTGTCAGAGCTGCACTAAGTGAACAACAGAAGAGGCAGCCAGGTTCTAAAGGCAGGAAGCTTCTAATGTTCCCACCGGGAGAACAATGTTTGTTGTCAGAGCGGCTGCAGATGTGTGAGAGGATGTGAAGGTTTCCTGAAGCTCTGCACATTATTTATGACGCCCTCCACCTCCCCGAGGACGATCTGTGATCCGCTGCTTCTGTCTGCAGGATTTAAAGATGAGATAAACTCTAATTAAGACTCATCTGCAGCATGTAAACAGCTCCTGTTCCCCAACAGAACCAGGACCAGCTGCAGCACGACGACGCTGCAGGGCGACTCGAGGACCTGGGAGGAGGAGACCTGGACCTAGTAGGAAATCTGGCACTGCAGCTCTCTAGTAAATTACTAACTGTCTTACATCACAAGACATCTCAAGTCATTTGAGACAAGTCTCATGTCTAGTGTGAAGTCACTAGTCAAGTCTAAAAAATGGGTCAGTCAGTTCACAAGTCATTCAAGGCAAGTCCAAGTCTTGTCCAAGTGAAGCTAAATAAATATACATCTCCAGATTAAGTAAGAAGTCATTTACAACAGGTCTTACGTCAAAAGCATAGCAAGACAAGTCCACGTCAAGACTTGTTGCACACAGGTCAAAATGAACTCCCAGCGGATTTACAATAAGACCTGCTCGAGCTTCAAGTCGTTTGACATACGTCCAAGTCAAGTCTCAAGTCTGTTGAGAGGAGCCGAAGTCAAGAAGCTGGACAATTCAGAGTCAGGTCGAGTTGTCTCAAGTCACTTAATATGACTCATTATCAAGTGTCATATTATCAAATCTTTTGAGACAAGCTCAAGTCAAGGTTCGCTGTTCTAAGTGATTGGAAACAAGTCAGAGTCAAGTCTCATATAAAAAGAGACTGATCCGACTCAAGTCCAATCGTTTCAAGCCTTTCAGGACAAGTAAGTTCTAGTGATTAAATACAAGTCCAAGTCAAACCTTGTCTTAGACAAATACGAGTCTCGAGCCATTACAACAAGCCGTGTTCATGACTGAAGTCAAGTCAGACCTAACGAGTCTAAAAATAAACCTCCCATCATGCCCGAGTGAATCTGCCTCACCTGTGACTAGGAAGGTGCAGCGCCCTGCCCCGGCCTCGTTGGTGATGTCGCAGGTGTACTCGCCGTATCCTTCCCGGTTCAGAGCTCGGACGTGGTAGTTGGTGTCGTCCTTCTGGTCACTGAACTGTCCGACGGTCAGCAGCCGAGTGCCCAGCTTCCACTCGTACCTCAGGAGGCGAGCTGGGTGAGCTCGCAGCAGGTGGCAGGTGAGGCTGAAGGCCCGGCCGAGTGCCTGGCGGATCTCCGTGTACGCCGGCTCCACGACTGGAGGAACTGCAGGACCGAGACAAGACATGAGACAAGACGGCCAGAGAGGACTCGAAAAACTACAAGTGGCAAGTCATCAACAGATATCTATCTGAACAAATTAGGTGAGTGATCGGAACAAGTCCTGAAAGGCAGGTTCTAGTCATGTTGTTAGAAACTGAGGACACTTCAGAGTCTACTTGTCTTAAGTCTTTTGAAACAAGTCTGAGGTCAAAGGCCAACAGTCTCAAGTCATTTGATGCAAATTCTAGTCACTTCTCAAGAAAATAAAGACACGTCCAGGTCAAGTCTACAATCTTGCAAGTCAAACCAAGTCCAACATTCAAGACAAGTCCAAGTCAAGTCTTTCCCAAGACAGGTACAACTGACTTCTCAAGTCATCTGGGGTGAGTTAAAGTAATTTCTCAAGAAACTGAGGACACATCTGATTAAAATCTAGTTACCTCAAGTCACTTGATGTGATTCTAAAACCAATTCTCCTCATCTCATTTGAAACAAGTCACAATTTGAGTTTGATAAAAGAAAAGTCTAAATTTAGCCTTAACTCTGACAAGTCCTAGACAAGTCTAAAATGTTTCGAGACAAGCTAAAGTCAATTCACAAGTCACTTAAGACAAGTTCAAGTTAAGTCTTGTCCAAAACAATTTAGAATTAAGTCTCAAGTCATTTACAAGATTTACTCAGGTTATCAAGCAGACTCGGAGAGTGGTCCAAGTCAAGTCTACAATCTTTTGAGACAAGTCAAACCAAATCACTAAATACTGAAGACTTGTTCAAGACAAGTCCTAATTAAGTCTCAAGTAATTTAGGAAAAGACCTACTGAAATCTCAAGCACGTTAATACAAGTCTTTCAGGACACGTCATACCAAGTCACATAATGTCTAAAACAAGTACAAAGAAAGCATCAGGTAATATGGAGCAAGTTCTAGTCATTTCTCAAGAAAGTGAGGACACATCTGAGTTGAGTTATCTGAAGTCATTAGAAACAAGTCTCAAGCAGTTTGACAAAGGTCCAAGTCAAGCCTCAAATCTTCTGGGACAAGCTGAAGTCAAGTACATTTTACAGTCATTTGTCTTTTAGATTATTCGGGACAAGTTCTAGTCATTTCTGAAGAAACTGAGAACACATCCGAGTCAAGTTTACGCAACTTGAGATCTACTCAAGTCTCCGGCAGGTTTGTCTGTCAAGTCTGCATCAAGGCTACAATCTTTCAAGACAAGTCAACCCAAGTCACCAAATATTCAAGAAAAATCCAAGTCAGCTCTTACAGATGACGTCTCAAGTCATCTGGGCAAGTTCTAGTCATTTCCTAAGAAACTGAGGACACGTCCAGGTCAAGTCTACTCGTCTCAGGTCACTTAACATGATTCAACTTTCATCATCTCAACTTATTCGAGACAAGTCACACGTCGAGGTCAGTGGTTCAAATGAAGCCTCATTATGACAAGTCCGAGTCCAGTCATGAGTCTTTTGAAGTGAATTCACAAGTCAGCCAAGAGAAGTCAAGTCTCAAGTTCATGCCAAAACCTACACATGTGCTCGAACTCTTTAACCTGAACTTTAACCAACAACTTTATATTTTTACTTATTCTGTACCAATGAGAACAGATCCAATAATAAACAAAGTGTTTGGTCAGAAACCCAGTGTTCTGTTCTGAACCAATCGGGCCTTGGCTCCAACTCACTGCAGAAAACTGATAAAACTAATAAACCCAGACAGAGTTTAAGGGAGCTGCTGCTGCGTTTCATCTGCTGCTTGCTCACGTCGCTCTGAAACAACCTGAAACCTCTTAAGAACCTGAAATGTTTCGACTCAGACGGGCGTCGACCGCAGCGCTACTGAAGCTCTGCTAAAGGGCACAAAGGCACGTGTCTGTTTAAATCCCCCTCAGAAGGTTTCAGCCAAGGTACAGGTGTCACGTCGCGGATTAACGTCCTCCGAGTCGCTGTGGCTGCAGAGTAACGAGTCCGAACGCTGCCTGGCTTCAAGGGCGAGGCAGCGGCCTGATTAATTCAGGAGGAACTGCAGATCGAAATCAAAGTTTAAAGGCAGCTCAGGTCATTTATTTTAATCAGGTTTAAAAATCTTCAGGGCAATTTTATCATAAACCAGAAAAACCTCACTTTGAAGGTCCTTCAATTATCAGTCGCCTCACGTCGTCGTCACTCCTGAGCTCTGAACGCTCAGGCGGTGACAGCTCTGAGTCACTTTAGGCTAAACGTCAGTTATTTTTGTGCCTTTTGAAGTGAACATTCTGGACAAGTTATTCTCATTTAGGACAAATTTCGAGTCATTCTGGACAAGTTATTCTCATTTAGGACATTTTCTGAGTTGTTTTGGACAAAGTTTAAGTAATTTTAGGCAAAATCTGAGTAATTTTGGTGAATTTTCAAGACATTTTTGATTTTTTTTGTCATTTGGGGCATTTTTGAAGTCATTTGGACAGGTTTTATTTTTACTCAGACAATTTATGAGTGATTTTCATTAAATGGTAACTAGCTTCGGAGAAGTTTCACGACTTTTCTCTCTTTTTTCTCTGAAGACGTTCTGAAAGTGTTTGACTGTTGGGGTTACAGGTTCTGATATGGATTCAGAAAAATGATGTTTCAAGATGAATCCAGGACGAGCTGTTGACTGAAACCAAAGTTTAAGTGGAGCTCAGGTCATTTACTTCACTCATATTTAAACATCTTTCATCTTTGAAGCACTGATTCAGCTCCTCAGTTTCATTTGACCACAAAACAAACACTTGAGCGCCTCCTTAAGCATCACTGTGCACACACGCCGACCCTCCTGAGGTCTGAAACCCTCCCTGGTGCTCACAAAGACACGAACACCGTCACTTCTCAAGTCCTCATTACGCGTCCCACTGCGTCCTCACAACATGAGTAATCTGATTACACACATGCTGCGGGTTGTGGAGATAAAGGTCGCCAGTTCATCCCGACCCCCCGGAAATGTTTCCAGGATCCTCCTCCTGCGAGGGACTCGGTCCAGGAACACGGAAAGGTCAGGCGCCGACAGCGACCTTCAGCCGAGCGCTGTGATTGGCCGGCGAGGACTTCTAACCCCCGCTGTTTAATTCCCACAATGCACTGCTGCTGAACTCTGCTCTTTTCCGTGCTGATAACTTTCATCATGTGAAGTTTTTGTGAGCAGCAGCAGCTCCTGAATAATTTAATTTACATGATAATGTGATTCAGGAAAACGATCTAATTTAAGAACAGCTGCTCTGCTGCGACTCTCAGCTGAAGGTCCCCAAAACGTGGTCCAGGGACCTCCGGGGGCCCCTGAAGGAACATCAGGAGGTCTGAGGAAGAGACCGTCCTGTTTCCTTTTTATCTGATCTCCTGAAGCAAACCTCCGGTGCCCATCATCCCATCAGCTCTGGATCAGACGGTATTCTATAAAAATAAAGGATTTTTTGACAGTCAGGTTTTCTGCAACATATTTTGAAAAGTGATTCTCATTTTGGACATTTTTTTGAGTCGTTTTGGACAAATTTTGAATAATGTTAATTAAACATTTTAATCATTTTGGTCATTTTTAAGACATTCTGAACAAGTTTTTGCCATTTCAGACGTTTTAATGCATTTTGTTGTTTGCTTTCGTTGTTTTTTAGTTACTGAACCTTTGATTGTGTTCACGTCTCTGTCGAACCTCTTTTGGGACGTTCCAGGAGAGACAACGGTTCTGACTCCAGGCTCGGTTCTCCTGTTCGGTTCTTGATGCTGACTCAGAGAAGACAACAGGCTCCATAATGAGTTGATCCATTCCAGTCATGTTTTGATGAAATCGGCCTAAACTCTGCGATTGCAGCTTCATGTTTGGTTTCTTCTTCCTCTACGACAGTAAACTGAGTCTCTTTGGACTAAACAACACATTTGTCATCCTTTAAGAACGCTGATCGACATTTTTCACCATTTTCTGGCGTCTTTGGGACCAAACAGCTGATTGATTGATCCAGAACTCACCACAAACATAACAAACTGCTGCAGCTCCACCCAGTACCTCTGACTGGTTATTTTGGTGCACTCAGAGGTCGACGCTATTGGATCCCACACAGCAGAGAAATCAGAACCGCTGAGAGGTCGGATGGAGGCTGTTCCTGCACTACACAGACGTCTGATGTGCTCTTATTTTGAAGGGTCGTAACACAGCTGTAGAGAAGCAGCCGGATGGAGATTAAGTTGTCCTTTATTTTTCTATTACTTTCTCTGTATGCTTTAAGCGCATTAAAGATATAACATGAGCGTTTTCCCGGCGCTGTAATGACGACTCGACCCTCCACAGACGTCCCGCTTCTCTCTCCGACAGACAGACTTCAGTCAGACACTTTGTGGTCGGGAGCTGGAACTTTCTGCTAAATATTTCTTTGTGGGTCGTCGGGACTGAAGCTGTGATCAAAAACAACCGCGGGGAGGTTTCATACATCAGCTCCAGTCGTCATCTTTTATTCAGACGCTTGTGTCTGTTTCTCCTTGAAGGAAACTCTTCAGTCGGTAAACAGTCCTCCTCATTGTGACGACTGAAGCTCAGCGCTGATGCTTCTGTTATGCAAAACAACCTGCAGGCTTTCTGTCTGTCTGTCTGTCCGCTCGCCGCTAACTGACGTCAGAATCAACCGTACTGGGACGGATCCGGGCCTTCGGTTCCTGTTCTCTGTGTGTGCAGCCAGTTAAACCGACAGTTCAACAGTCAGGTAGCTTCTGGATGAATGAGGAACAATTACTGTGAGCAAATCAGTAAATCATCTGGAGCAGGCCTCTTTCTGGGTTTGACAATCACAAGGTCAAGAATTTGCACATCAAGTTGAAGTCAAACTAATGAACACATGTGGGTCGCTGTGTTTCTGCAGAACCTTTAAACATAAATCTGTTCTGTTTAATGTGAAATAACATTAAATATCTGAAAAGAAAAGAAGAATTCCATCTTCATGTAACATTAAAGCTCCAAAATGTGTTTTATTCATGGAAAATACTGTTTTTATGACATAGCAGTCGTTCATTATTTTACGGTATTTTTTTGGCAGCCAGGTTGGAACATTACTATGATTATTGTTGTTGTTGTTGTTTGTTTGTTTAAAGCATTTTTGTCAGTGTAACAAATTTTACTGTTTTTACAGCGTTACTGTTGTAGATATAATTTAAGCTACTGTCGAGTTATTTCGGCTAACGTAGTAGCCAATGGTATCTCGTTTAAGCTAATGTCAGTATATTTAGCCGAACATACTCGCTGATATCAGTTTGGTTCGACTAACGTTTAGATTGATGTTCGTTTGTTTCGGCTACTGTTATCTTGTTTATACCAACATTAGCTTGTAATGATTAATGCTATCTTGCCAGGACAAAAAGTGATCTTGCTTAAGCTAACATAGTTGTTACTGTTATGTTTGTTTAACTTGCAGTTATCTTGTTGAGGAAAGCATAGCAGTCAATTGATTTAGTTTAAACTAACGTAGCCGCTTCTGTTTTCCGTCTTAAGCTGAAATAGTGGTTACTGTTATCTTATTTGAACTAATATTATCTTATTTAGGATCATGTGTTTTTGTTAAAGCTCACATTATCTTATGTAGGCTAATGCTATCTTGTTTACAGTTTGTTCAGAGTAAAGTTTAGTCTAGCGTTATCTTGTTTAGGCCTGTTTCAGCTAGTTTAGGCTAACATTAGCTGGTTGAGGCTGACGTAGCGATGGCTACGCTTCCGTTAGCAGTGCAGTAACAATGATAAATAAATGTTTTATTGGACTGTAACTGACGTCAGCAGGGTTTTACACAACACACTGCCGTCATCAGTTCCTTTTTCTTTTTTTATTCACCACTTTGAAGATTTTTCCTCAGCGGCAGAGTTTTGTTCACTTGTTGTGTCAAATGAAGACGGTGGACATCACGTCTCTGTAATCCAGGAAGACGAGCAGCAGTCTGGGAGGGATTAATGTCAGAGTGAAAGTCAGCAGCTTTTATCTTCAGGCTTCATGTGGACCTGATGAATGAGTAACTGCAGAGAAATGAAGAAATCATGGCGCCTCAGCACGCCGCTGTCGGTGTCGCCGCGAGCTCAGATTCCGTTTTCATTCCTCTGCTGCTCGGTTTCTTCCTCCAGGATCAGCAGGTTTTCTTTTCGCTCGGTTACAAGTTAAATCTGCGTCGCGTGCGACTCGAATGTTGTTTCACTTATTTAAAGTAATCCACCTGTAATCTGCGCTCGCTTTAATCTGCTTACGGCTGCTGCACGGTGAAAACAGCAAACACACGGCAGGAATTTACACAAGAGGAGATGTAAAGTGGAATCAGAAATCCTGCTGGAACAGACCTGCGTTTAAAAATAAACAGGTTTTAGCAGCTCAGAGGTACAAGGAGGGAAAACAAATTAAATCCTGAGCCGACGTTATTCAGTTACGCCAAAAAAGACAAATCATCAAATAAAGCGAGCTTCTTCTTCTTCAGCGTCCATCAGATGAGGAGCATCACCATCTAACTGGTGACCAGCGGAGAGCTTCTGGTTCTCGTGTCTTATAAATAACTTTTACTGATAATGTTTCAGTTTTTTTTTTTTTTTAAAGGTTCTAATATAAAAAAAAAAATCTGTGTAGTCTATTATAATTTTTGGATATTTTTTTTAAACATATTTTTTTATTTATTTTATTTTATTAGAATTATTTAACTTTTTATAAACATTTGTAGATTTTTTGTTGTATTTTATGCTTTTTTCTGATATTTGATTACATCTGTTGAACATCTAATTATATTTTTATTATTTTTAAATACATTTAGTGAAATGTTGTTACGCTGTCTAGACTTTAATTACAATTTTAAAAAATATTAATGTATTTCAGATGTTTAAAAATATTTCCTGATATTTTAAATGTTTACATTTTTCCTTATATTTAATCACTTTTTTTAATATCATAACAACGTTTTCTGATATTGTGTGCACATGTTTCTAATATTTTATTACTTTGAAAATGTATGACTGTATTTTTATTTTATTTTTTACATTGATTAGTATTATATTAGTTTTTGGTTATTTAATTCGTATTTTTCAGCCATTTTGCAAGATTTTATTTAAAAAAGACATTTTTGATTTGATTATATATTATTTGATATTTGATTAAGTTTTTGACACTTAGGAATTGTTTTTTTTTTACATATTCCATCCTTTTATCAAACTTGTACACATTGAACTAAAATATTTTAAGACATTTTTGACATTTCATTCCTATTTTTACTGATATTTAAAAACATTTTTCAACACTTTGCTTTGTACATATATTAAAACATTTTATAAATGTTTTTCTCATATTGAACGTGACATTTTTCTTCTGCTTTATCAGCAGATGCCTGCGTGTGAGCTGTGAGGATGAAAAGTGCAGCAGCTCCTGTTTATTTTGGATTCCTCCCACAGAACCTCCAGCAGCTGTAAAACTCAGCGTCGCTCCAACATTTTGTGAAGTGATGAGTCAGAGTTGAGCTCCGAGCTGCAGATTTGTGCGACTCTCTGGAGGACGAGGACGACTGGAGCTGCGGAGGAGATTGGCTCTGACAGCCTTTTAGTGCAGCACGAAGCCACGAGCTGCGACTCGTCCTGTCACTTCCTCTCACGGCGTCATGGACGACGCGCCGCCTGCAGGCCGGACGGAGCGTCACCGGGCGGCGGCGCCCCGTCCGGCCTGCAGGCGGCGCTCCGTCCGGAGGTGCTCGGCTCCGTCCCGGCTGCTCGGTGCCCTCCGGCGCCGGCATCGGACCTGCAGCTGCTGGTGTTCGTTTCCAGCGTACATCCGGCAGATCTGCTGCTGTCGGCTCTGATGGACGTGATGCGGTCTGAGCGCGATGTGACATCACCTCCGCGGGGCTCACGAGTCAACGCCGCGGTGCATTGTGGGTATTTTGGGGATGCTGGCTGCTGGTGTTTGTTTACATCTGCAGCAGATGTTGCATTTGGTTTCTGAGTGAAAAATGTGCAGCGAACAGACGAACATGTGATCAGAGCCACAGGAAGCTGAGCCGCCTCAGAACTCCATCGGCCCAGACCCGGTTCATCCTTTGAGCTCAGAGCACTGAATAAAAACCAGAGGTTTCATTTCTGGTCAGATCATAACACAGTCGAGGAGGTCACTCATCCTCTCCACCACAGACTTCAGCTCCTCTTTAGTTCCACTGATGTTCTGACTGAAGGCTTTTGTTGTTGGACTTTAATGTTTCAGAACCAAATGTTAAAAGTAAAACACACAGACATGGACTGCCTTCATAGAACAGAGCAGAAGCTTCAGTCTTCTGAACACCACAGCTGTTTGTCAGCATAAAGTTCATGGTCCAGTTGTGTTACTGCCACCATCAGGAAGGAAACACAAACTACCAGCTGCTGCTGAGAGACGACTGGTCAGGATGGTCAAGAGTCAACCAGGAACCAGCAGGAAGCAGCTCTGGATGGATCAGAAGCTGCTGGAACACAGCTGTCAGTGTCCACAGGGTCTGACATCAACATGAGCTGAGAGGCTGATGGAGAAGGAAGTTCTTCCTCTAGAAGCAGAACCTTAAAGCTCCACTGAAGTCTGCTGTTGGTCACACGGACAAAGAAAAGGCCTTCTGGAGGAAAGTTCTGGTCAGATGGAACAAACACTGAGCAGAACCGTGTCTGGAGGAGAGAAGGTGAGGCCTTTAACCCCAAGAACACCAAACCTACCATCAAGCATGGAGGTGGTAGCATCATGCTCTGGTTCTGTTCTGCTGCCAGTGGACCTGGAGCTTTACACAAAGTCAATGGACCAATGAAGGAGGAGGATCACCTCCACGTTGTTCAGGAAAACCTCAAACCATCAGCAGAAGGTTGATCTTGGACACGGTTGGATGTTCCAACCAGACAATGAGCCCAAACACACATCAAAGTGATGAAGAAATGGTTCCATCAGGCTGGAATAAAGGTTCTAGACTGGTCTCCCCAAAGTCCTGACTGGAACCATCCAGAACCTGTGGACTGATGAAGAAACAAGTCTGAGTCTGAAAGACGACAAGTTTAGTTGAACTGCAGCGATTCTGTCCAGAGGAGTCAGAGATGAACCAGAAGCTGGTGGACGGAACCAGAAGAACCCGACTGAGGAGAACATGGACGTTTAACTAAATAATTGTATATGTTTGAGTCTGAGTCTAATGGATCAGATGGTTCTACATAAACTGGATCAGAGGAGTCGGCAGCTGTCGTGGATCAGAACCACTCACAGAAAGCTCAGAACCATGAAACTATGATCAGCAGAACTTCCTTCATCACCAGAACTAATTATTCCGTTGCTGTGTGTGTGTTTGTGATGTTGTTGTGCGTCGGTGTGTGTTACCCACACTGCACCACCAGCTGGATCAGCGCCTCTCGCGGCTTCACGTTGAACCCGTTGTACTGGCTGGTCTGGCACCGGTAGGTTCCGCTCATGTCTCTGCTCACGTTGCTGATCCTCAGAACTCCGTCGTAGCTCTCCATCTGGGCCGAGCCGTCGGGCATCAGCGCCGCCGCCGCCGCCGCCCCCCCGCTCTCCTCCACCCGCGACCACAGGATGATGGGTTTGGGTTTTCCTGAGACCAGACACTGCAGGTCCACGGTGTCGCCCTCCTGAGCGATGAGGTGAGAGCGCCCCCTGGGGACGGTGAGCTCCGGAGGAACTGCAGGAAGACACACGGAGATCATGAACATTAGTGACGGAGATCATCTTCCATCTGCTCACCATCTGAGGAAAGTTCTTCATGAGCAGCTTCCAGGAGGATCAGACCACCTGTGAACACCCCCGTGTGTCTGCAGCGTTGGACCAGTCCAACCTGGTGGAGAATGTTTGGTCAAACTTCTCTAACGTTTCCTGAACGTTCACTGGGAGTTGAACTAACAGACAACATGTGGAACTGATCAAACTGCAGCTCAGACACACAAAAGACTCAAAACAACCACAAAGAGACACAAACAGACCGACTACAGCCAACTGAGAGACGCAACATGAACACAAACACATGAGCAGAGATAAAACAGCAGCGTTACTGACAACATCTACAGACGACCTGCCGGTCTCTGTTTCCTGTCACCAGTCGATCAGCTGAAGCTTCAGCTTCAGTCCATTTCTACTCTCTGATGAACCAGACGACGGCAGCAGGTCCGGCTGCTTTTAAAAACACTTCACTGCACAGGAATCAGTTGTGGTGAATTCAGAGGGTCAAACTGCAGCATGTGGAGCCACCAGGGCTCTGAAGGCAGCAGCAGCTCCACCGTCTCAACATCAATCATTTATCATCATGGATGTAAATGTATTCGATGCAGAGTCGGACGTCGGCTGCAGCAGGTCTCGTCTCTCCAGCGTCAGACGAAGCTTCTGCTGCTTCAGTCACAAAACCAGACCTGGTGGATCAAAGCTGACAGTGTTTCTCTGTGAACTCCAGCAGCCTGCAGCCATCGCCACGTGGTTGCGGCGGCGGCCATGTTTGTACGGCAGCATCTGGACTTCTTCTTGTTCTTCTACTACTACGTCTTCTACTCCTGTTTCTTCTTCTATCTCTACTACTTCTGTTTCTTCCTAATCTGTTTCTTTTTTTTCTTCTATTTCAACTTCCCCTTCTTCTGTTTCTGCTTCCTTTACATGTATTTGTATTTCTTCTTCTCTTGTGCTCCATCTTCTGCTCCTTACGTTTCTTCTTCTATTTCTGCTGCCTCTGTTTGTGTTTCTTCTTCTTCTTCCTCTCTTTCCGTTTTTTTACTTCTCCTTCTTCTCTTATTCCTTTCCGTCTCCTATTTCTTGTTCTACTTCTTCCATTAAACTCTGCAGCTCCTGATCAAACTCGAGTTCGGTTTCTGCAGAAACAGAAGCAGCAGAACTTTTCCTGAGCCGTGGCCGTGCAGCTCGTCTGTGACCTTGGCGGGAAGCGCTGGGCTGCTGCTGGGAGGACGAAGGTTTTTAATCGAAGCGTCGCTGCTGCGTGACGCCGGCTGACGGATGCTTCGTGTTAAAACAGAAGGTCAGAGTCGGGTCGCTGCTGCATTCCCAAAAGGAGGAAACAGACGTTAAAACAGTGGAGCAGCCTCCGTCCTCCTCCAGTAACATCTCAGCGTGGTTCTGGATGAAGGACAAACATCTGACATCAAACACACGCTGGGTTTTCTGCTTCTGATTACAGACGAAAGAATAAAAACCAATAAATAAAAACAAGAAACGATCTGTTAATTAAAGAAGTGGAACTGTGAGAGGACGAATAAATCTGCTTTTATTACCGGCCTGGTTGGATACAGAGGCTGGTGAGAAAATGGAAAATATTAATGAAACGGCAGAAAGCCTGGTGAGGACAATCACTTTAAAATATCAGAAAAATTGTTATTAAATATTAGAAAACGAATACAGTGTCAGAAATGTATTAACATCAGTGAATAATATTAGAAAAAATGCAAAGAATGTGTTGAAATGTTTACATCTGAAAAAATATTCATGAAATATCAGAAAAAGAATCTGCATATTCTTATGTAAAGAGAGTGGCAACGGATTTAAGAATATAAGATAAATTATTATAAATTGGCAGAAAAAGAACGTAAATACAATATATTAAAAAATATTAATTAAATGTCTAAAACATGAAAAATTATGAGGAAAAAAACTAAAAAAAAAATTATAAAGCAGGAAAACAATAATATATATTCTTATATAACAAAAGTGGCAACAAATATAAAATATTAGGAATGGCTAAAATAAATTGGCAAAAAAATGTGAATAGAATATATTTTTAAAATCTTAATAAAATGATATAAAAACATGATGAATTATTAGGAAAAAATATTAATGAAATATCTGAAAAAATATTATTAAAATCAGAAAAAATATGAAATGTCACAAACATATGATAAATTATTAGGAAAACACTAAAAATATATATATCTATAAAGCAGTAAAAATATTCTATATATTCTTGTATATGGAAAGCGGCAACAAATATGAAGAAATGTTAAAATAAATTGGCAGAAAAATGTGAGTGCAATACATAAAAATATTATTAAATGTATAAAACATTAGAAATTCTTAAGAAAAATATGTATAACATATCTGAAAAATATTACTAAAATCAGCAAAAATATGAAATGCCACAAAATATTAAGAAAATATCTATACAATAATAATAATGATAATAATAATAATGTAATAAATTATCAGGTAATATTTATTAAATATCAAGAAAAAATAGTTGCTTCGTCCACTCAGATGTAGAATCAGCTCTGAGAGAATCACTGTGGTTCTGAAGAAAACATAAAAACCTTCAGTCTCGGAGGTTCTGGTTCTTTCTCTGACTGCTCTGCAGGTTTGTTCTGACGGACATCAGACATAACGTCCTGGGAAAGTTTGAGTCACACTGAATCCATGAGTGCATCTCATCTGTGTCGAGGTTCTGACAGAAGAAGTCGTTTTTAAACAGCCTCCCTCCAGAACCTTCTGCACACTGTTCTCTGTTCTGGGCTGCAGATGAAACCAACCGACCCAAATCAATTTTACCGCCCAAAATCTGCCGACGCTGCTGTCAGCTCCCGCTCCGTTTGTACATTATCTCCTAATTAGGAGATAGTAAGTCATAATTATGAAATGCGGGAGTCACAGCGGCGCGATAAGGTCCGCGGTTTCATGTGGATGTAATGTGATTCTGTGCACCGGTTCCGTCTCTCATCACTTTATGGAATATTTGGAGTGTTAAAAAGTCTTCACGCACCGGATTACAGCTGCCAGAGATCATATATCTGCATTTCACAGTTCAGACAAATTAATCTTTATCAGCTTCTCCACTTCAGAAATTGAAAACTGCTCCTGCTGTTTATTCGGTTTAACCTGATATCAGCTCTGACTGGAGTCACTCAGTGTCATTTCTGCACCGTCTCACATGTTGTTTCCACTTATTTCTTATTTTGGACCAAAAACTCATTTCTCACATGTTTTAGCAGAATTTGGAGAATTTGTTCAGAACTGACAGTTTGTGTGTTTTCACTCTGGAAAACTCGAGAAGCCATTTTCAAGGTTCAACATCTCCACAAATAAATCCTCCACAGTCATGAATCCTGGTTAGGAGACGGACAAAAGAGCTTCCAAATGACTGAACGGATCCAACTGGATCCATGGTTCTACTAGAATCCAGTCTCTGGTCACATTTCACCACCTGTTGAGGTTCTAACATCAGTAGAACCTGATGTGGTGAAGTTGGACCAGACACGGTTCTGGTTTTTATGTCCAAAATAACTAAAAATATTTCAAGAATGTGTTGAAACTTGTCCAGAAACCTGAAAAGCTGTCCTAGATGACTCAAAGTTGTTCAAAATTTGTCCAAAATAACTGAAAACTTTTCTAAAATTACTCAAATCTGCTCAAAATATCTTGAAATGTGTCTAAAATAGGAGAAATATTGTTCACAATTACTAAAACTGGTCCAAAAAAAAAAAACAATAATGAATCATTATCGGGCCTTGAAAATTGAAAAAGTGCAAAATCATTCCTGTCAGTGTCTATCTATGGATGGATCCATGGTTCTACTAGAATCCAGTCTCTGGTCACATTTCACCACCTGTTGAGGCTCCAACATCAGTAGAACCTGATGTTTGGCAAATACGACAGGACGAGGTTCTAGTTTCTACTTTTTGGGTTTTCAATCAATCGATTTGTTAAAATAATAATAAATAATAGTGGACACAATCCTGAACGTTGACGGAGCTGCTTTTAATCATTGACACCTGACTTCTGTCATAATAACAGTTTGGTCGTATCGGCCGCTCTGGTACAAAAACACTTTTCTAGTAAACTAAGACTTCTTAAACTCTTGAACTCTGGTTGGAGGTCCTGAACCTCCTCAGAGTCTCTGTCATGGTCCCGTTGCTGCTAAACTCCCACAATGCTCTCTGCTGCCACCATCAGCTGTAGTCTGAGTGACGCCTCCTCTGATCTCTACAGGATTAAACAGGAGGAAGAGGCTCCACCTGGTGGAACAACCAGGTACTACAGCCAGTCTATGATACGTTTACTGACACCTTCTGCTGCCTTATCAGTGGTGTATTTTTATTGGTTAAATTATTAACAGCAATTAACTGTTAACTGTTAACATCCCATCTGATGTGTTGGTCTCGTGTTTCACCTCAATGATGAGACTCTTTGGATTAAAGGGATCTTTCCCATATTTCCTCAGAGCAGATGTTGTTGGAGGAGGATGAGTCTCTAATCAGGTCCAGTACCGTGATATTAAAGAGAAAGCTGAACTCCCTGCAGTCAGCAGCTGTGTGGATTTACCTCACGCTGAGCTAACGAGCTTCGTTATTGAGAGTTATGAGAATCTACAGCCGTCCTGTTGAGACGCAGTTAAAGAACTCTGTTTAACCAACCTGTTCCTTTTCCCGTTCAGCAAACACTGTTTTAATAAAGCTGCTGGCGTCTCCAAGAAACTACAGTGAAGGTGTCACTTGGTGGGTTCCTCAGTATTCAACACCGGCAGACAGACAGGAGTTACAAGAGCCTCATTAAAAGATGGTGTAAGCCACCTTTAATACAGCAGACTGGGAACTAGGAATAGTGTGAGGATTGTCTGTGAAGATCCTCAGTCCTCCAGCTCATGGTTATTCTGGTAGATTTATGGTAGCAGCTGGACCTGCTTGAGTTCCTTAAAAACGTTCCACCTCTCATCCAAGAGGCTTCAGGCCCCTTCAGGATACCAGTATGTGGAACTCCCAACCAGTCAGTCAGAGCTGATGAAGCCTCTTGGATGAGAGGTGGAACGTCTTCAAGGAACCCAAGCAGGTCCAGCTGCTACCATTAAACTACGAGAACACGTATTGAATTACTTTTATTTTGTGGCTTAAGCCATCACTCTCTGGTTTAGTTCAGGTGAAGCTCCTGGTTTGGCTGCAGTTCAAATTGTTCATTCAAGTTGTGGTCAGTAAATTTCAGTTTCATTAAATTTCTACAAGCTAAATTATTGATTAAGAAAACTGTCGAAGATCCCAAACGTTCTGCCACAAATTGTGTTTGGAACTGAAATCCATAATTCAAATCGTTGATTCTTTATTTCTGCATCCAACAGATTGTTTAATGATCCCAGTTTATTCTAGCTTTCACAGCTCTGCCAGTCTGTGTTCAGTCTCAATCTGAGGTTCTTCAACATTTATTAGTTTCAGCTCCAACATGATCCTCGTTTATTTCAGCCACCAGAAGTTCAAAATCATGAAGGAACTCAACAGAGTGACACAAAAATGTCACCCCAAGCTTAGAAACACGAGTATGAATATTCCCAACAGCACAGATTTGAAACAAGAGCTTAAAAAAGCATCAGAGTTTTTACTAAACTTCATTTATGGTGCCTACAGGAACATGTTCTTGACTGTTCTTTGAGGAACCTTTGGGGTTCTTTAAAGAATTGTTTGGCTAAAAGGTTTATTGTGGCACTAAAACTGGTTTTGTCCACAGCATTACTATGAATAAAGCATGTGGTTGGTTCCAGTTAGCGCTTTAATGTTTAGATGATAAAATAACTGGACCAAACCGGTACTCCCCCATCCTCACCTGTGGTGGATGAGATGTTGACGTCGATGCTGATCTCGGGGGTTCCTCCGTTCCTCAGCGCCGCCACGCAGGTGTAGGTCCCAAAGTCGGTGAACTTGAGGTCGATGATGTCGAGGTTGGTGGTCCCAGGCGAGACCTCGGTGTCGGTGTGGGTGATGACCATCCGCTCGGAGCTCCTCAGCGGCCGGCCGTTCTTCAGCCAGCTGAACTGCAGCTCCTCCGGCGGCGTGGCCTCCACCTGGCAGCTGATCTTCACTTCGCGGCCGATCTGGATGTTGTCATCGTTGTGGTACGGGTCGGGCGTGATCCAGAAGCGACCTTTACGGAGACCTGCAACGGGATGAAGGTTTAGCTCAGATTTGTTGGATTATTCAACACAGGAAGTGGATGGAAACACAAACACTGAAGATTGATTCAGGAGATCCGTCTGACCGGAGTCACAGTGGGACAGAACACTGCTGAAGTCAAAACCATATCAACCTGAACAAAGTTTCTCCACAGAACATCTGGTTCTGTATCTCCAGTAACTTTATCTAATGAAGTTTTACCTTCATACCGTGAATATTTCCCTTAAAATCCACAGAGGAGGGTTGATGCCGATGTTATAAAGTTATGTCCCCTCAGAGTGGATCCTGTCTGGGGATGGTTCTGGTAGGTTCTGGAGGTAAAACGGTCCTTCCATTGTCTAGAACTGGTTCTCACCAACCACCACCACACATGCCGATATGAGCCTGACAAGTTTACCCAGAATGCACTTTGTAAAGTTTCCTCTGGTGACTGATCATTATGACCATTGTTGTTGTTGTTGTTGTTGTTGTTGTTATTATTATTGTTATTATATCGACATGTCAGCCATGCGTGACCTCGTTATCACTGACCAGTGACGTGATTTAAACAAACCAACGTGTGATTCCATCTCAGTGGAGCGTCTTGGATAAAGAACCTACATTAAGTCCGACCAAAGCGTGGTCGGTGCCGCTACACCAAGGCCACGACCGCGGTGGACGAGCAGCAGCAGCAGCTTCTAACAAGTCTGACATTTAGCAGAAACAACTGCTGCTTTGTGGAATCCAGCTTCTTAAATTATTCCAGAGACGTGCAGCGATTCACAAAGGTCAGGCCACGGCGGCGGCGAACCCACCGAGCCACAAACAAGGCGTCCGGTTATTACAGCGGAAACCAGCTTCTGCTCATCGCCGAGTGCCACCGGGTCACAGAAGACTCGTGTCTCAGCAGCGCTCGGCTTAAGAGGATTCACATCTTGAACTTTTCTGCTCACTGAAATATTCAAACGCTGATTTTCAGACCCGTTTTTAATCATTTAAGACACATTTCTGCTCTGAAATCTAGAATCATCTGCACCTTATTAGCAGAAAGGGTAAAAGGTCTGGTTGCTGGGCGACGCTGCGGCAGGTTGTTGGTGTTGCCGGTTTGAATCCCTCATTAGTTTCCATCAGAGCCGACGGCGCTGCTCTACAATGACCCCTCCTGCTGTGCACAAACTAATCCGTCCAAATGGAGCTTAATTACTACTGAAGCCATTTGTTCAGTTTAATCCACAGCGAGTTCGAGCTGCTGCTGCTGCTGTTCTGACTCCACGTTAACCTGTCGGCCCGCGGCTCATTGGACGATCCACTGCCAGCGCCGACCAATCAGACGGCAACAGGTGGCATCGCCAGAACCAGTCCGACCCTCCAGATGTGGACTTCTGACATTTAAATGCAGTTTTCTCCTGTCACTGGTTTTAAAATCCTCTTAACTGCTGGAAACAACAACAACAACAGCAACAACAACAACAACAACAACAAGCTCTGAGCAGCAACAGGAAGATTGATTCAGATTTGAGTTGTGCAGGAAAATAAAGTGAATTATCCATTTTAACGACAGCTCTCTGTTCCACCAAAACAAATCCACCGGAAACCAGAACATCGTGTTTTTAGCTCCACAGAAACAACTGTTGTTCATCTGCAGGGTTTCCATCCTGCAGCAGAATGTCACTGAGGTGCAGTCAGACCATCTACAGCGCTGTGGAGAAACATCTGGATGCTCCTCATAAAGCAGTCTCTAATATCCAGGTATTTCTCTGCTGTGCCGTAGAACGGTCCGACTGCACCTCATTAACATTCTGCTAAACTCTTTTGTGAGTGACTTGTCCATTTTGTTCTCTCCTCCCTGCACGCAGATGTTCCACCAAAACAAATCCCTCGTTATGACTTTGCAGGAACGCCGTCGCTGCACGAAGACGACTGTTTGACAGAACTAGAAGCAAGACAAACGTTTTTCCTCCCTGTAGCAGAACGTTGTTGAGGTGTAGTCAGACCATCTACAGTGCTGTGGAGAAACATCTGGATATTCAGGAAGTACCCAGACTGCTTTACTTCCTGTAGAGTTCATTGTTCTGTAGATTTTATTCTGAGTGGAAACTACAACCCTCTGAACACTAAAACCCACCAGCAGGTTTCAAGGGTAAACCCAGTGACCCAATTTATCTGTCAGATAATTGTCACGCATCGTATGTTCCACTGGGACGATCAACCGAACCTCACTTCAGCTGCCATAATAGTTTTCCATGTTAATAATGTATTGAATATGATTTTCATATTTTATTTTGTTAATTTTTATTTTCTTAAGCGCTCACAGGAAGCGCTTTCTGTTGAGTGTTGCAAGGGGGACATTTTTGCCTGTGACACGTGGTAAGAACGTCACACAAGGGCTGAAAGGTGGCGTTTGCAAAGGAGGAACATTTTTGTTGTTGGTCATTTGTTGTTCTTTGTGGCGGGAAGTGGACTCATCGGCGTACAGCGAGGTACGTGCTAAATGTTTACGGTGTTTATTGACCTTTAGTTGTATTCGTGCTGCTGATGTGCGTATGTGTTGTGTGTATTTGAGCATCTTTGACGGTTCAACGGTGAGTTTATGTGGAAACGTGTTGAAGTGGCGATAAACTGTTAGCAGAACCACGGTCCGGTCTGATTCCTGGAGGGAGTGCTGCTCCGTTTAAAACTGTAACATTTCATCAACTTTTTTTTGTGTCATTTAAATTCTTCAAAACAGTAAAATAAAATTCAGAGTTCCAGGTGAGCTGCAGCAGTGTTTCCTCAGATAGCTGTCCACACATATTCAGTTTATTGCTGAGAAGCTGCAATCACAAAATTTAGACTTATTTGATTAAAAAATTACTCAAACAAATTAATCGATTATAAAAAATAGCTGGTGATTAATTTAATAGTTTCCAACGAATCGATTAATCGTCGCAGCTTTAATTCAGTCAGATAATGACGTGTTGAGAGTCCACCGAGGTGAAGCCTGGAGCAGAGACTTGCTGAACATGAGCTGATGTGTGCATCAGAGTTAGTGCTGACTCAGGTTTATCTCCTCAGTGGTGCATGCTAGCAGCAGAGTTGGTCCTCAGGAGAGAAGCTGCAGGAGCCTCATTTATAAAACACAGAATACACCTGGAAACCAGGTTTATGTAGCTGCAGTAGAGTTCCTGTTCATGAATCACCGTCCAGCTGCAGATCAGCCTCAAACATCCCACATTCACCCACAGACGGTCGATGCAACACTGCCGAGTGTCGACACGACAGAAGAACTGGTTGATAGTCGTACATCATTTACGTGTTTACAGCAGCAGGACTGAAGTTATCAGAGGAATCTTCAAAATATACGTAAGCACACATACAGTAAGGACCAATATCGCTGAAATATTCAGATCTTTTTTTACGTAACAATACAACAAACACACTTTGGAAATACTCCTGAGTTAAGCCTCGAAACCCCAAAATCATGATGTCATCCTTTCAAGCCTTTACAAGCCGTCCAGAGCCGCTGCTACAAAGCAACCTCACATCATGACGCTGCCACCGCCGTGCTTCACATCATGACGCTGCCACCGCCGTGCTTCACATCATGACGCTGCCACCGCCGTGCTTCACATCATGACGCTGCCACCACCACGCTTCACATCATGACGCTGCCACCACCACGCTTCACATCATGACGCTGCCATCTATAGACATCAGTTTCTGCTGTTTCGGAACAGTTTTCTAATGTAGTACTGATGAAGTTCTGAGGCTCAGAAATGATGGAAAAAGTCCATTAAAGTGATNCTCTGGAACATTCACAGTCTGAAGGTAAAATGTTGGACATGTTGATTCCAGGTTTTAGAAGAAAGTAGCGCAAAGCACATGTACCTGGAATGCAGTACTTAAGTAAAAGTACTCAGTTACTTTCCGGCATTGATCGCGGCTCAGAGGTTCCATCGAGGCGCCTGAATCCTCCCAGTGATGTTTGTTTTTACAGATCAGAATTTTGTGCCGTTTTGGTTCCAAATGAAGCCCCAGATATCTGTGTGTGTGTGTGTGTGTGTGTGTGTGTGTGTGTGTCGGGGGTTTGTGTATATAAATAGCTTCAGTTCGTGAGGCGAGCAGCTGATTGTCCTTGTTCATTAAGATTAAAGCAAGAACGCCTCAGAACAAAACGCTGCATGTGTGCGTCTGTGTGTGTGTGTGTGTGTGTGTGTGTGAGCCTGTGCATGTGTGTGTTTCACTGCGTCAGTAAAAGGTCCGTTGCATAACTCGAGGTGGATGCAGTTGCTCACACATGAAAGTCACAAAACACACACACACACACACACACACACACACTCTTGGCTGCAGTCCTGTCAGTGCACAGCAGTGTGTGTGTGTGTGTGTGTAGCTGTAGTGTAGCAGCATGAACACTCTGAGCCTCTTTCACACGTAAACATGCGACCGTTGCAGCGCTGCATGTCTCCTGCAGAGAAGCTGCTGCGCTTCCATCCGACTGACACGGAACAGATCGGAGAGTTTACAACGTTTTACACTTTCACTAAGACATGAAACAAATCAAACCTGCAGCACTTTAACACTCTGGATGGATTTATCTCTGCTCCTGTTTCTTATTTCTTCTCTGAGGTTCATGTTTCTCTGCAACATAAAGTCCTGCAGCTCTGTGGAACCAGAACCACATGAAAAAAAACAGGAACCAACGCGTTTCCACAGATGTTAAACCCTGGAGCTCATGTCTCCTCATCCTGTAGATGTTGAACTATCTCCATGTCACCAGATGTTTCCTCTCTGCTCTGCTCATCAGATGTAGAAAGATGTTCCACCATCAGCTGAATGTATCTCCACCAACTGGCTCCTCTGTTCTCTGGTTCTGATCCATGCTGCATTCATTCATTGATCCAGGAGGTTGGATTCGCCTTCAGTCTCTCTGAGGAAACACTGGCTGCAGTTCTGTTTCCAGGAGGAGGGAGGTTCTGGTTCTACAGGATCTGCAGTGAACTGCTGATTTTTGGAAATTTTTTAAATGAGACGTGTAGAGATGAAGCGAGTTTGACTATATATTACAAGTTTATGCTTCAACTGGTCATTTTTCTGATGAAACCACAGAACAGGCCTGAAATGTTGTTTTAGTGTCTGGTACAGAGGTGACAAAACGACTTCATTTTGTCCAAAATTATTTGTAAATTGACCAAAATAAGTAAGAAAATAACCGAAAATGACAAAACTTGTCCAAAATAATTTTACAAAATGTCCAAAATGTCTCAAGCATTGTTCAAAATTGACCCAAATATGTCAAAACTGAACAAAAACTCTGCAAATTGATAAAAACATCATCAGCGATGAATTCATCCAAAATCACTTAAAAACTGTTCAGAATGAAAGAAAAGTCCTTCAAAATAAAATTGAACCCAAATTGAACTCAAAATGTTTCAAACTTTTCTCCAAAATAACTAAAGTGCATCTTAAATTAGTCAAAGAAAAATAAATGGCTCAAAATGTGTCTTAATGACAAAACTTGTAGAAAACGAGCAAAAAGTTGTTCAAAATGTCTCAAACATTGTTCAGAATAACTTAAAATATGTCACAAATTAACAAAAGAACAACTGACTGTCAGATGGCAGGTTTTTGATGTGAACATTATTTACAGGTTTTCTTTAAAGCTAAAGAAATCAGGAAAACATCAGTTTAATATTTAATAATTACAGTTAAAGCTTGTTTGAAACGTTCATCTTCAGTGTTTCTCGGACAGAAGAGCTGCTGAGGATGTTTTTTTTGTCGACGAGCCGCTCGGCATGCTGGGAGCGTGGCGCCCGTGCTGCTCGTCTCATGGGTTCGACGTCGTCCGTGTTGCTGCAGCTTATCTCCGCTGCGCAGCCTCAAAACACACTTAATCACGTTTGGTGCGTTTCCTCTGTGAAGCCTCCTGATTGGCTGCAGCGGCTCCCATGTGACCGACCTGTCCGCCAGGTGCATGCTGGGAAAGTCTCCAGGTCCCCGAGCAGGACAGGTGCTTCATACGGCGGCGAGAGGTGGAATCAGCGCTGCAGGACCGGCCTCCTGCTGCAGCTTCACCTTCAGCTTGACGAAGAGTTTGGACTTCACGTGAACGTCCACAAGCGGCTGGTAGCAGGTCTGTTTAGGTCCTTCTGGACATTCTTAGAGTCAATCGTGACACATTGAAAATGATTCTAGAAACGTTTTGCATCATTCCAGACGAATTTAAATTGATGTTGGAGGTTTTTTGTGTCACTCTGGACACGTTTGAAGTAATTCAGGACAAATTTCAGTCATTTTAGAAGTTTCGTTTTGAGTCACTTGAACCATTTTAGATTTAGAGTCACGACAACTTGAGGTAATTTTAGTTTTGTAAGTGGTGGAGAGAGAGAAGTTAGAGTGACCCACTGAGAAGATAATACATTAATCAATATGTTCTTCCAGGTTCTTCCTTTCCTTCAGCGTGGCGTCTAGTTGTTGTTTGTTCATGTAAAAGGCGTTTTTAAGGTTATTTTAATCTGAAACTCAGAATAAAAGCAGGAAACGAACTAATGTGTGAGAATCTTATAAAGTCTACATTCAACAGTCTTCTTCTCTAGTGTTGTGTTCAGATGTCTTTTAACGAACACGATAAGATCTCAGTTTGTTCGGCTGATGTTCTTCTGATCCTTTTAGAACGCGTCATCACAACACCACGAAGAGCCGACAATGACGCCATGGGAGGATGAAGAGGAGGATGAAGGATGAAGGCTTTGCTGTGAAGGCAGGAATAACAGCAGAGTTTAGCGCCTCAGATAAATCCTGTGTGTTGTCGTTGTTCCAGCAGCAGCTCGTTCAGGCGCTGAAGGTTCACCTGTTAGAACCTGAAGCTGGAACAAAGAAGCTCCAACAGGTGGAGCTCAGAGTGAATCCCAGAGGAGCCACAACTGCAGCGGGAATGAAGAATGACGAGCGGCAGAGTTTCACATCAGACGGAGGAAGAACCGTAGAAACAGCAGCTCTTCTCCAGCCTGGATCCATCCTCTGGGGAACACGAGCGTCTGCACAGAACATCTTCTCACTTTGTCCACTTCCATAAATGTGCGACTGATCGAAGTCTGTGTATTCTGAAGATGCGCCCTGCTGCCTTTGTAGCGTTTGTTTAGCCAAAATGTGATTTTTTTTACAGTGTGCGTAGCTTCTCGTGGACACGCGACAGAATTTACATGTTCTCGCGGATGCAGAAACTATAAGACATACCAGGACAGCAACACTCAAATGTCAGGACTTAGACCAGCTGTAGTAAATAATGTCACAGAGCGACAACCTGCTGCACGACCTGAACCACAAGCATCTCCGCATCATGACGCTGCCACCACCGTGCCTCACGTCATGATGCTGCCACCATCGTGCTTCACATCATGATGCTGCCACCACCGTGCTTCACATCATGATGCTGCCACCACCATGCTTCACATCATGATGCTGCCACCACCGTGCTTCCCAATGGGGATGGTGTGTTTGTGACGATGTTCAGTGTTTTAGGGACCAACAAACATAGCGTCAAACCTGATGGTCAAAAATCTCCTGTTCAAATGGTGTCAGTAGAACCGCTAGAACTGACTGATAAATCCACTGTAAAGCCACGAAGCCAGAACAACCAGGATCTTCCCGTCAAGTGTTTTAATCGGCCAAGACGTTGTGGCCATGACCAAAAAAGGGCGCGTGATGTGATGCATCAGTTGTTTTGTTGATGTGTATCTGTGAGAGTTGTACCTCGGACCAGGATGTTGGTGGACTTCTTGGCCGGGTTTCCCACGTTGTTGGACGCCACACAGCTGTAGGCGCCGCCGTCGTCCACGGTGACGGCGGGGATGGTCAGCGTGCCACCCTTCACCAGGCTCCTCTTGGGAAGCTCCTCCCCCCCCGGCCTGACCCACTGGAGGACCGGCGGGGGGTCGCCGCCCGACGCCACGCAGACCAGCGTGATGGTTTCTCCCGGATTCACCACCAGGGGGTCGTCCAGCAGCAGCTTGATGGAGGGAGGAGCTGCGGAGGAAACGTCAGCGCAACGTTTAATTCAGCTAAAATAGAACTTTGTGTAACAGCAGGAGCAGAGCTGCAGCTAATCGATCAAACAGCTGGACTTGTTCGTTTAAAAGTCCAAAACTAAAAGAGATTCAGTTTTTTGTTTGAGCTTGAATGAAAGAAACAGAATTTATCCTCCTGGAACAAATCAGCCATCAAACTGCATCAGAGATCTACAACCAGGACACGTCCTGTCTGACCAGGTGGCCAAAAAATAGAAAAAATACTCAAAATCAGTTCAAAATGACAAAAAAAAATCTATTTAAAAATTGCAAAAACTTGTTTGAAATTACTCAGCGCTGGTCAGAAATGTCTAGAACATGTCTAAAGGGACTCAAACCTGATGGAAAAAACCTCAAAGTGACAGAAAAGTTCTCCGAAATGATTTAAAAATTGTCCAGATAACAAAAACGTGCCAGAAATGACTCAGAACTAGTCAGGAATTGCAAAACTTGTCCAAATTGACTCAACACTGTCCATAACGATAAAAAAAAAACTTGTAAAAATGTGTAAAAAATAAGAAAACGCTGCAACATGTGAGATATAAAATCTGTTTATAATTACAAAAAGTGGATGAAAACTTTTCGGGATGACTCAAAAATTGCCCAAAATGTCGAACACATCGTCTAAAGTGACTTAAACATGGTTGAAAATGACTAAACTTTAAAAAAATATCTATATGTGGTCCAATATAACGATTCATGCAACAACCAGCTCAACGTCTCCATGCTGTTCCTGAATCTGTGCAGCAGAGATGAAGTCAGATTGACCCACTGAGACCCAACAGCAGGAAGAAGTAAATGTTCCTCTGCTGTCGTTGGTCTTTTGTTCGACCGATTTCATCTGTTTCGTCTTCATATAGCAGCTCTGTGACGTCTGGATTCAAACCTGATGTCAGATGTTTTACTATTTCATTACTCCGCTGTAGAAGTCTGACGGCGTGCAGGAGAACCGGGTTCTTATTTTCGGCCTGGTGTCGGTCACTCCAGGTTCAGGTGGGTTTCTATCATTAATACGCACATTTTTCACGTTCTGAAAGCCTTTAAATATCTCATTGGGCTTAAATAATCCATCGAGCTGCTGCTGCTGCAGAGCGGAAAAGCTGCAGAGTCGGCCGCCGCCTCCACCAGCTGCAGAAAAGCAGCTAAATGCAGAAATAATAATGAGGGGGATAAAAATAGCTGAGTCGACCTCTGTCAAGCTGACATCATGTAAATCCCATCAGCCCCCTGGGCGGCGGCGGCAGGAAGTACGGTACGGGTCAGAGAGCTGCAGAGGAACCGATGGTGTACGGCTGTCTGAGTGCACCTGCACAGGTACAGGGATGTAATATTAACACAGGGACATTAACAACTCACCGGTGGAGGTTTGTATGGAAGCCCACTGCTGCCAAGAAAACAACTGAAATACGCCTTCCTCAGATACAAAGTTTAGACGCTTTAGTTACAAATGTTTATGTTACAAAGGTTTGACTGACTAACACTGTAAAGCATCCTGAGTCCTAACTGTGATGTAAAATCATTGTTTATATATAATGTTTACAAATTGTACAGAAATACAAGAAGGTAGGAGATTTTTCTGAACTGCTGAGTCATGATTCTGACATAATTTTTACGTTTTGCAGTTTATTTAGTAACACATCTTTGTATTGTTTAAATCAGGGATGCACGATATATCGGCGACCATGTCGGTATCGGCTGAGATCAGTGTTTTGTCCAATATGTTGGTATCGGTCTGATGAACACATTTAGCCGATGATTGTCGAACATCAGCGCCTTCGTCTCTACGTTTGATATCGCTGCTGTTTCACAGATGTTTTTACTTAAGTGTTCCTAGACTTAAATATGTTGAAATATGTTTTACTTTTGTAATAAAGACTATGTGGTCTAATTGGGCTTCTTCTGAATAGTTTTCTCACAGTGCTACTGATACTCATTTTTTGGTGTGAATAAAAACTGAATATCAACATCGGCAATATCAGAAGTCTTAAGATCGGATATCAGTATCGGCCAGAAATGTTAATATCATGCATCACTAGTTAAAATAGATGTTCTGCTAAGAGCATTTATAAAACAACATAACGCAAAATAAAGTTTGAAAGTTAAGAAAAAAGAAAAACGTGTTAGACTGTGACGATGAATTAAAATAAACAGTTCATTTTTACTGATTATTATTTCATGCTTCATTTATATTTATATACGTGTGTGTGTGGGCTTCATTTGAATATTGGAGAGCAAATGTTGAGCGTGAAAACATTTCAGTTTCTTTATTCTGCATCAGTTTCCAGCATAAATGCTTGTATTTAGTAAAATTATATATAAACGTTAAAAAAATGACTCATTCTGGACACGAGTGAGTCACTGTGAACACGATTTGGGTCATTTTGGACGTTCTTGTTATTTCAGACTCCGTTTTGTCATTTTTGTAAAGTTTATGTCATTTGGAACAATTTAAACTCATTTCGGAAATCAGAGCATCAAACTGAAACATGAAACAAAACAACAACGAACATGAAATGTAGCCTCAAGTGCCTAAATGTGAATTATTCTGTACAAGTCGGAAGTCATTTCAGAAGGTTTTTAACTCATTAGGTTTCATTTTTTGGACAAATCTTAAATCCTTATCGACAGTTTGTTGCTGTTCTGGATCGTTCTCAAGTCATTTCAACATGAAGCAGCACAAGAACAGAACCGATGTTTCCTTCAGAGGACAGAACCGGGTCCTTCATGTTTCTGTACCTGTTCTGTTGCTCAGACTGAATCTGGCGCTTTTGTCTCCGATGCCGCAGACGTTCCTGACGGAGGAGATGCAGGTGTAGTCGGCGTAATCCTGCGGCCGCAAGTTCTTCAGCTTCAGGATCTTCGTCTCGCCCTGAAACACACAAACGTTCCTGTTACGTCTCTGAAACCTGCTTCAGGCTGCGTTTACGGCTCAACATCCACACTTTATACGCATCCGTGCCAACTTTAAGCTTAGTTTGGAGAATTTCTGAGTTATTGAGGACACGTTTTAGTAATTTTGGACATGTTGGCTCATTTAGGACCATTTTAAGTCATTGCAGATACGTTTTTGTCATTTTCTGACACTTTTGCATAATTTGTTGGCATTTTTGAGTATTGGGTTTGTTTTTAATACATCTTGGTCATGTTGGGCAAGTTGTTGGCTATAAGACTAAACTATGCACTGGTTACAGAGAGGGTTAAAAACCTGGCCAGCCTTTCACATCTTCTAGTCACTTTAAACGGTCCAGTCCAACACTACCTGGTCACTGCAAGTATTTGTGCACCTCCAGGCCTCCGTACCAGCTCCAGCCTTTAACTGTGTGGCTGCAGTTCAAACCTCAGCTGACTCGCGGAGGTTTTTAAGGCCAGACATGAACCTGACAGGCCTCAGCAGGTGAACCACAGCTCCTCCTCTTCCTCCTCGTCTTCCTCCTCCTCGCTGCCAAACCTCTTATCTGCTCTGGCAGCTCGCCGCTGCTTTCCGCCTCACGGACAGATGAGATGAGATTAGATGACATTTAAATGGGATGTTTGAGCAAAGATGGCAGCCGGTTTTTGGCGGCGGAGGAAGAGGAGGAGATAAGCTGCTCATTACAGCGATGGGGGGGGGGGGGGGGCGGCGAGCTTCCCGGCGTTCGGATCTGAACGTTATCTACACGCCGCTAACTAGCCGCCTGATTGGCCGGCTTCCCTTCGCTGCAAATTAAATCCAAACCGCAGCCAAAAGGGAAAAAAAAGGCAAATCTGGGCTCCATCTGCAAAAGGTTTTAATCCACAGGAGGCTCAGAAACAAACTGTTGAACTCAGGACGGATGAACGTTAAATCCAGAACCAGAACCCGGTTTATTCAGCTGAGGCACCGATGACGGATTAAAGGAAAAACCTGGAACGAGTAGAAATGTCATTTTGGACAAGTTTTAACTCACACTGGAGGCTCTGAGTTATTCCAGACAGACTTTATGTCTTCTTAAGCAGGTTTTTGGACACATTTTTGCACTTTTGGAGACATTTTGAGTCATTTTGGACTTTTTAAAACTCACTTTATCACATTTGTGTGATCATTGCATTTTGGTCAAGTTTAACTGACTTGGGACGTGTTTCGAGTCATACGGGACGGTAGTTTCTTGTCATCTTAGAGACGTGTTGAATCATTTTAGACGAGTTGAATTCATTTGGGAAACGCCTTGGATCATGTTTAATGACTTTAGACAGTTTTATGGTTACTTTAGATCAACTTTAGTGATCCATATGGAAATTGTTTTATCACAGCAGCAAGCGCAAAAAATTATTAATTATATAAAAATATACAGACAATACAGAAATTTCCATATGCACAATTTTACTATTCTTTTCTTTCTTCAAGTAAAGAATGAATGAATGAATAAATAGTACTGCATACATGCAGAAATAAACTATATTTTTATTATATACTACTTTTCTCTAAGTTACTCTACTTTGTGGGATTTTGGATGATTTTTAACTCATTTTAACTGATCTTTCAAGTCATTCGGGGGATTTTCTCAGGATTTTATGCACATGTTTAAAAAACGTTTTACTCATTTTGGACGAGTTTATGTCGTTTTAATCCCGCTTTATCTAAATGTGGACGAGTTTTAACTCATATTCAACTCGTATTTGATATTTTAGACAAGTTTTGGCTCATTTTGGACGAGCTTCTGTCACCGTAGATGATTTTTAATTTGGTATAAGGTTTTATTTTTTTATCAGACAATGAGTGTTTTTTCGATAGGAGCTGTTTCTACCTCTGACACGTTTCGACTCGTCACCACAGACGTCGGCGACGTTTCTGAGGAAGACTGAAGTGACAGTGGAAACATGTCAAAGGTAAAAACAGCTCCTATCTAAAAAATACTCAGTCTGATAAAAAAAGAAACCTCATACCTAAAATCAGAGCAGACAAAATGAACCTAATCAGGCAATTTTTTATTTAGTTGAACCTTAAAACTAAAATGACAAAAACAAACAACATCAGTAAAAGACGTGAAGACACTCAGAGTTGATCTGAAATGAACAATTAAAGTGAAAATAAGGACATCAGGAGGAGCAAAGAGGAAGCATCATGATGTAACAGTGGGACTTGGTTGGATGAATTCAGTGTTTAATCATTTCCACAAACATTCAGTCTGACGCTGAATAAATCGTCCTTTTCAGCTAAAATTGGACCAAACTGAGCTAAATTTAGGAGCCGAGGATCCTCACAGGAATCACACTGAGAGTTAAAGTGAGTTTCGCTGCCAGCAGGAGACGGACGTCCTCAGACACAAAGCAGGCATCAGGATGAAGAGCTGGAGTCTCTCAGACTGCTGCCAGCTCCACGCAGCAGGGACCCACACTCACAACAGCCTTCTGCCACCAGTCAGGTATTTTTAGTCGTTTGGACGTTGGACTGCAGGTGAGTCTGAACCGTCAGAGTGAACAACAACGTCCTGAACGAGACGGTCTGATGTCCGGCTGCTGGTTCTGAGCCTTTACCGGTCAACCTGCAGCCTCACCTGTCGGCCCTGAGCTCAGGCGTGTGCTCACCTGTGTGAAGAAGGGCTCGTAGATCTCCACGCCGGAGTCGGAGCCCTGGGACAGCACCTCCCGGCCCCGCCTCCAGGTGTAGTGGACCGGTGGGTTGGAGTTGGCGACGCAGCGCAGGAACACGGTCCGCTCGAAGTAGAACTGCTCCTTGGATTCTCCCACACTCTGGTGGACGGTGATCAGCGGGTCATCCAGGTCTGAGGAGAGAAATGGACCCGATCATTCTCTGGACGTGACGGTGAAACAGCCAACATGTGCTTCAGAACCAGAAATGTGGTAAAAAGTGACAGGTTTACCACGTTTTGGGTAATCTGGGTCATTTTTATCTAGTTTTGGATATTTTTTGTCATTTTTTGAATCCTGTCTACAGATGGTTCTGGTAGGTTCTGGAGGTAAAACGGTCCTTCCATTGTCTAGAACTGGTTCTGATCAACCACCATCACACATGCTGATAGGAGCCTGAAAAGTTTACCCAGAATGCACTTTGTAAAGTTTCCTCTGGTGACTGATCAGAACCAGAACCACATCCAGGGTACCAATGATTGTTTCTATGACTCTATGTCATAGACATTAAACTGGTACCACTATGAGACATCCCATAATACTGATGCTACCAGCTGCTGGCAGAGGACATGGTGCCAATAGGAAAAAATTATGAGAATGATTCAAAACTGTTCAGTATTTTTCACATTTTGCCAAACTGACAAACTCCACAGTCACCCAACAACTGTCCAAAACATCGACCTAAACGGTTTAAAACTGACTAAAGAGTTGTTCAAGATCAGTTAAAAATCATTAAAAGTGATGCAAGAATTCTCCAAAATGAACCAAACTTTCTTCAAGATGACATGAAGTTTGTTTAGTAGCTCAAAAATTCCCCAAAATTACATAAAATCTGTCGACGTGACTCAAGAATCGTCCAGAGTGGCTTCAACATGTGTCGAAAATGACTAGAAAGGAGTCAGAATGATTCAGAGATTATAGATTAAAGTCACGCAGAAATCAGGTCCAGTGTTCAGACTGAGACACCTGGATGGATGTAGAACTGATCTGGTGTCAGGTTCTACCAGAACCCAGATGTGTTCTTCCTCCTAAATGTCATGTGTCTATCTGCTGTACTGATGAAGTTCTGAGGCTCAGAAATGATGGAAAAAGTCCATTAAAGTGATACATCTGGACCCTCCTCTGTGGACTTCAAGGACCTGGACCTCTGGAACATTCACAGTCTGAAGGTAGAACTCTGGTCAGTAGACAAAGGTGCTGCAG